GGGTTTCCCAGATGCTAATTGCTGAGAAGAAGCAATTATGAGGCTGAATTTAAACACCCTATAGCTCGCTTATCATGAGCAAGAAGGTATGCACACTGGTGACTATGTAGAAAAAATGAATCTACATAAATAAAAAGCATATTCTAATAATTATTTCTGTCTTTATTCAGATTTTCACATTCAGTCGTGAGTAAAAGACATGGAGGTATTACTTTCCATCCAAGCTGCACATACACAGTATGTTCAAGATAAGTGGATTTACTGTATCAATTCTCTTACAAAGCAGAGGCAATTAAATTATCAGATTCATTATATATTCCAGTTTGGTTCATACATTTCTTCCCATGCTGCTCCCCAGAGACCATGTAAAACCTGTCCCTGAACATTTCTTAGAACCCAACTCCAGGCACAGCTTTTTTGGCTTTTTTTTAAACCTTCAGGCCCTGTTCACACCTGAGTGATGCTGCCTTGTTGTGTTTTTTTGGCACATTTTTGGAGCAGCACATTTCATTTTGAATAGATCTCCCTTCGCTCCAAAAATGTCATGTACCAAATTTTGGCACTGAACCAGGCACATTTTTTAACCCACATTTTGCCACTATTTTCACGTGTTTTGTCGCACAACAATTGTGGCAAAATTGCACCGCATTTGGAGTGCCGTTAGGAATGAATGGTATCCAAATACCTCTTGAACGTTGTACTGCAATTTTATCATGATTTGGAATCACAGGTAGAATCGCTGTGATTCTGCCTGCGATTCCACAGCGCCAAGTATGAACAGGGCCTTAATACTTTCTGTCACTCCTGTTAAATGTGTGTTACTTACTTGGAGACCTCTCTGTAAGCTCCACCATACCGCTGCCAACCACAACTGAACAAAGACATTGGCAATGCACAGCCTGTGCATGTCATATAATTCTGCTGTAGATATAAAGCACTGTTCCTAATACACTGCTTTTGCACCCAAATTCTGACATTCGCAATTAGTGTCAGAGGTTGTGGTTAAAAATTCCCCAACACACACAAATACACATACCTATTGCATTAGCTATTGGGAGGCAGGGTGAGACATGAAATATCTATCATTAGCAGGCAGCACCTAAGCTTTGCTAGTCATTGGTGTCAGTAGAAGCAATAGTGCCTCATCATTGGTATCAATGGGAGAAATGGTGCCAATGTCTTCTATTTGGCTATAAAAGCAGTCTATTAGCCCACGTGGAAGAAAAATATATTTGACATATATTTTTAAATATTTTTCCCAAATATATTGACATACACAGTGTTCCAAATTATTATGCAAATTCTATTTAAGTGTCACAAAGATTAAATATTTTGTTTTTCAGTTTAACTCATGGATGGCATTGTGTCTCAGGGCTCTTTTGATCACTGAAAACAATCTCGGACACCTGTGATAATTAGATTGGCCGGTGAGCCCAATTTAAGGAAAAACTACTAAAGAACAGTGTTCCACATTATTAAGCAGAGCACCATTTTCAAGCAATATGGGGAAGAAAAAGGATCTCTCTGCTGCCGAATAGAGTGAAATAGTTCAATGTCTTGGACGAGGTATGAAAACATTAGATATTTCATGAAAACATAAGCGTGATCATCGCACTATTAAGAGATTTGTGGCTGATTCAGAGCACAGACGGGTTTGTGCAGATCAAGGCACATTGAGGAAGATTTATGAAGTGGAGTTTATGACTGACCACTTTCTTCCCTAGTACAGACGGAAGAACTATGCTTTCCGTAATAAAATCATCTTCATGCACGACAATGCACCATCTCATGTTGCAAATAATACCTCTGCATCAATGGCTGTTATGTGGATAAAAGAGAGAAAGTCATGGTGTGGCCTCCATCCTCCCCTGACCTCAGTCTTATTGAGAACCTTTGGAGCATCCTCAAGCAAAAGATCTATGAGGGTGGGAGGCAGTTTACATCCAAACAGCAGCTCTGGGAGGCTATTCTGACATCTTGCAAACAAATTCAAGCAGAAACTGTCCAAAAATTCACAAGTTCAAAGAATGCAAGACTTGTGAAGCTGCTATCAAATAAGGGGTCCTATGTTAAAATGTAACGTGACCTGTTAAAATGTTTAAAAAGTTAAAATGTTGTTAAAAGTTTGACTGAAATAGCTTTTGATTTCAGTAAATATGCTGTAAACACAACAAATGACAATTTTCAGTTCTTTACAACCTATAAAGTGTTTAGAAATTTACTGTGCATAATAATTTGGAACAGTGCATTGTAAATTTTTTATGTTTAAAAAAAATCCTGTTATCATTAGGAGGTTTGTTCAATAAAATTTGAATTGTACTCTTAATAGTTGATAACATGAGAATTATGCTGACTGTTATTTACATCAATTATTTAGGTAAATGAGAAAAATATCATTTGCATAATAATTTGGAACACGATGTATATTTGAAATACTACAAATTGGCCCTAGTGTGTGTATGTATGAATGTAAGTTAGGGACCTTAGATTGTACACCCCTTGAGGGATAGGGACTGATGTGAATGTAGAATACATATGTAAAGTGCTGCGTAAATTGACGGCGATATATAAGTACCTGAAATAAATGTATTTTTAAAAATATTTTTCAGATATTTTGTAATAAAAATGCATTTCAACATGCAGTATATATATATATATATATATATATATATATATATATATTTATTGAAATATATCTTGAAATATATTGAATATGGCCAAAATTGTAGTATTTCAAATATATGTCAATATATTTGGGAAGAATATCTTTAAAATATATTTCAAATATATTTTTTCTTCCATATGGGAGAGGTGGTCCAAGTGCCTGCACTTAAAACCTGAATCAGTTTTTTCTTTTACAGATTCTGGAGCTTGGCCTCACCCCTTTTTTTTAAAGCCACGCTAGTGAACATGTTAGCCCACCAGAATCATGCATGGAGAACAGTGCTCCCAAACAGGGTGGTAAAATATGTAGGGAATAAATAGAAAATTTTCCATCTGCCTTGATTTCTGTAAAAATTAAAATGCTTTTATTTACAATTTACATTTTACAAGCTTCCACTTTTAACACCCTCTGATCTACTCCACAAGGTGTATTTAATTACGCTTCAATTATATACTACAATATATTTGTTTCATGTTTGCTCTGTATCATTTTGTAACCAATCTGATGTGGCCAAGTCCATAATCCACACTGTCTGTGACTGCCAAGGAAAACAGACCACAGTGATCAGGGGTTGCTTAGTGATCAGCTGGGGGCAGCCCATTACAAACACGCTGTGGCTGAGCACAACTGTCACTTTCCAAGAGCTGCAATGTGTTCCAAAACAGCCAGGAAAAACAGACTACATCTGTAGATTCTCTAAATGTACATCCGCTTTTACATAGATAGCACAGTTTAATCCTGACACATGTTCCTGAAAGATTGGAAAGATTAAGAAACATTTCAGCAGAATCTTAAGCAAAAGGAGCTCAAACCTGACCTTAAACAGGCAATAAAGCAGTCTCCAACCAAACCAAAAGTCCACTTTGACAACGGAATTTGATTGAGTTGATGAGCTGCTATTGATGTTTGGATTAAACTATGCCTCCATGATCAAATGATCAAACACAGAGTGAAAGTACAATATGTTCTTTAATCCTGACACCTAATTTTGTGCAAAGAGTGAAAACAAGGCCAGCAAAACACATCCTGTAAGTATCTTTGGTTTTGCTTATTGACAAAGCCATTTCATTAATTTACCGAGAACACTGCCAGCTTTTAAAACAAAGCACAGAAATCTACAAAAGACAATGTGCTCAACAAGGCAAAATCACAAAGATTTTTACTCATTCAAAGAGCAATCAATAAGTTATGATTCTAAATAGTGGGGAAGAAGAAGCAATATAACATTATACAAAAATGAGATATTGATTTCTGGGTCATTCGGAAAATCAAAGAAAATAACACACAGAATTCACTAAGCAATGAGAATTTAGGGTCTGTTGCACAAGTACCAGGAATGGGTAGGGATTAGAGAAACGTTTTACAGTACAATGAAACCCAATGCAATTGCAAAAACCTTAACACACAGAAACACACAAAAGCAAAATACAAATAAAATGTGGCTCATAAACAGTTACAGTACTTACATACAGTATAAAAACAAAAACACTTTCACACAGTTTGCTGCTTAATTTGCTTCTTCTGGTGGCTGAATTATGAGAGCTTAAAGTGTTACTAAACCCAGGACCCTGCATTCACTATATCTGGTCTCCCACAGTAGACTGAACATAGAAGTGAAATTATTTTAGTAAACATAAACTGCTAAATACCTATTCTCATCAAAAGTTAGAGCAGTCTTGTGGCTTCTATCAGTGTTCAGCCAAGCACTAGCTAAAGCTTGTAGGAGGAGTTTTCTTTCTGCTCTAGGAGGATGCAAAACCCCTGACCTCTGCCTGACCAGTGCTGATTGGCCCTGTGCTGATCATATGCACCCTCCCTAGAAAAAAAACTTCTCTAGCAATACACACCAAACTTAGCATGTACAAAATGCCTACAGTTCAGTCTGTCTTATCAGGAGATAAGAGGTGGTCACAAGGGGAGAAACAGAGAAATCAGGATCAAACAGCCTTTTTACACAATGCAGAGAATTAACCCCTTAGGTTCCACAGTGAGTATAACAAGAATGCTGTACTGCATACACAGGCTGATTTTACTGTTGTGGGTTTAGTTACACTTTAAAGTAAACAGGTGGTTTCTGAGTCTAGCTATGATGTGCATACTTATCTTAACCTCTTGCCGACCGCGCATAGCCGAATGACGGCTTCACCGCGGCCGGCCAGTTCTGAGTGGACGTCATATGACGTCCTCCCAGAACGCGCTCTCCTGCGCGCCCCACCCGGCGATCTCCGTGATCGCTGTGTCTACGGACACAGCTGATCACGTGATGTGGTGAAAGGCCGATCCCACCGGCCTTTTACCACGTGATCAGCGGTGTCCAATGACACGCTGATCACAGGGGAAATGCAAGTGCCGGTTCTCGGCTGCACTTTCCCTCACGCTGTCAGATCGTGAGGAAAGTACTGCCGAGAACCGGCAGTTGTCAGAGCGGGGATCGGCACCGATCATCAGGGCATGATGATCAGTGCCCTGATGATCGGTGCCCAGCAGTGACACCCGCAAGTTCCGCCCAGCAGTGCACCCACTAGCCCCGCCCACCCGTTCCCAGCAGTGCCCCCACCTGTGCCCAGCAGTGCCCCCACCTGTGCCCAGCAGTGCACCCACCTGTGCCACTCTGCAGTGCCACCTACCTGTGCCCAAAGTGCCACCTACATGTGCCCAGCAGTGCCACCCACCTGTGCCCACCCACCTGTGCCCACCACTGCCACCCACCTGTGCCCACCAGTGCCACCCACCTGTGCCCACCCACCAGTGCTGCCCACCAGTGCCACCCACCAGTGCAGCCCAGCAGTGCTGCCAGTCAGTGCCACCAGTCAGTGCCCAGGGGTTGTGCCAGTCAGTGCCGCCAGTCAGTGCCCAGAAGTGATGCCAGTCAGTGCCGTCTATCAGTACCCATCATCAGTGTCACCTATCAGTGCCGCCTATCAGTGCTGTATATCAGTGCCGCCTATCCGTGACCCCTAATTAGTGCTGTCTATCAGTGCCGCCTATCCGTGCCACCTCATTAGTACTGCCTATCAGTGCCCTTTAGTGCTGCCTATCAGTGCCCATCAGTGCCGCCTATCAGTGCCCATCAGTGCCATCAACGCAAATCAGTGAAGGAGAAAAAATACCTGTTTGAAAAATTTTACTGCAAGATACAAATAAACTTTTTTTTTTTTTTTCAAATTTTTTGCACTTTTTTTAATTTTGCGCAAAAAGTAAAGCGGTGGCGATTAAATACACCAAAAGAAAGCTTATTTGTGAGAAAAAAATGATCAAAATTTTCATATGGGTACAATGTTGCATTTCAATTGTCAATCAAAGTGCGGCAGCGCTGAAAGCTGAAAATTGGCCTGGTAAGGAAGGGGGTATAAGTGGCTGGTAGGCAAGTGGTTAACCACTTCAAAACTGAGCACTTTTGCCTCCTTCCTGCCCAGGCCAATTTTCAGCATACAACGCTGTACCCAGAAAGTATTTATCATTTTTTGCACACAACTAGAGCTTTCTTTTGGTGGTATTTAATCATCACTGGTTTTTTTTTTAGAGTAATGAAAATAGACAGAACATTTTGAAAAACAACAACAGTTTTTCTTTGTTTCTGTTATAAAATTTTGCAAATAAATAATTGTTCTTCGTAAATTTAGACCGAGATGTATTCTGCTACATTTCTTTGGTGAAAATAACCCAAATCAGTATTTATTATTTAGTCTGTAGGAAAGTTATACAAACTTTGTCCACAAACTATGGTATATATCTGAAAATTTATCAACCCTGAAGGACTGATGGACAATCTAATTTCTTGAGGCCCAAAATATCAGAACAGTACAGATATCCCACAAATGACCCCTTTTTGCAAAGTACAGTCCAAGGTATTTATTAGGAGGCATGCTGAGTTTTTTGAAGTTGTAATTTTTTGTGATAATTTTTTCAGATAATGAAGAAACTAAAAAAAATGTTTTTTTTTTACATATTGTCACCAGTGCAGTACAGCATCATCATATAACTGGTGTGGTGGTGATAGGGACACTGACTGTTGACAGTATGAAAAAAACAAAAAAAATTATGACTTTTTTCAATTTTGTTTTGTTTTTATTACATTTTTTTAATTATTTTTTTAATATACACACTGTGATCAGAGTAGTACAATGTTACCATAGTACATTGTACTACTCTGGGGAAGTGATCAGTATTTTTTTTTTTTTACACAATATGATTGTTAATAGCAAATAATTTCTTTGCTATAAGCAAGCATTTAACTGAATGAAATGGATTCATTCAGGTTTTTTGTTGTGATTAGCTGTGATTGGCCACAGCTAATCATATGACACAGATGGGCTGTGATTGGTCCAGACTATACATGTGATCACTGTGACCAGCTAGTGACACAATTGTGTACAATGGATGGCATGAAAGGAAGCCATTCATTATTTACAATTGTCATGTGACCTGCAGTGATTGATTACAGCAGTCACATGGTGCTAGCAATTGGCTGGTACACAGATCGGTCATGGCCTGTGTCTGAGGTGCACAGCTAGTCACAAATGCTGCCACAGCGTGGCCCACAGGAACATGCGAAACGCGATCCGGAAGGACGTCACATGATCAACAAGAATCCCACTCGGCTGTCATTTTGCTATTGCCAGTTAAACAGGTTAAAGTGTATTTCCACTCTGGCAATCAAATTTGAGAAAACCCCAATATACGTTTATTATACAAGCACATCTCAATAAATTAAAATATCATCAAAAAGTTTATTTATTTCAGTATTTCAGCTAAAAAAAACTAACACTAAAGCAGCTGAAACTGATTAACAACCCCCTCTACTACTTAATTGACCAGATCAATATCCTAGGAGTTTAATTGACTTGATGCTATACTCTGCTCAAGAAAATTAAAGGAACACTTTTTAATTAGTGTATTATATAGATTCATTACACACACAGTGATTTATTTCAAGATTATGTCTTTCTTTTAATTGTGATGATTAGGGCTTACAGTGAAACCCCAAAATTCAGTATCTCACAAAATTAGAATACTACATAAGACAAATTAAAAAAAGGATTTTTATTACAAAAATGCTGGCTTATTGAAAAGTATGTCCATGTATAGTATAGTATGCACTCAATACTTGGTCAGGGGTCCTTTTGTATGAATTACTGCATCAATGCGGTGTGGCCTGGAGGTGATCAGCCTGTGGCACTGCTGAGATGTTTTGGAAGTCCAGGTTGCTTTGTTGGGTCTGGTGTTTCTCATCTTCCTCTTGACAATACTCTATAGGGATTTAGGTCAAGTGAGTGTGCTTGCAAATCACAGCACAGTGATATCATGATGATCATTAAACCAGGTATTGATACATTTGGCAGTGTGGGCAGGTGCCAAGTTTTGCTGGAAAATGAAATCAGCATCTCCATAGAGCTGGTCAGCAGAGAGAAGCATGAAGTGCTGTAGAATTTCCTGGTAGAGGGGTGGTGAGCTGACTTTGGACTTGATAAAACACAGTGGACCAACACCAGCAGAAGACATGGCTCCCCAAATCATTACTGGCTGTGGAAACTTCACACTGGACCTCATGAAACTTGTATTCTGTGCCTCTCCACTCTTCCTGCAGACTCTGGGCCCTTGATTATACTTTCATCTGAAAAAAGGACTTTGGACCACTGAGCAACAGTCCAGTCCTTTTTCTCTTTAGCTCAGGTAAGAGGCTTCTGACACTGTCTCTGATTCAGGAGTGGCTTGACACAAGGAATGCGACAGTTGTAGCCCATGTCCTGGATACGTCTGTGTGTAGTGGCTCTTGAAGTACTGACACCAGCTATAGTCCACTCTTTGTGAATCTCCCCCAAATTCTTGAATGGCCTTTGCTTCACAATCCTTTCAAAGCTACAGTTATTCCTGTTGCTTGTGCACCTTTTTCTACCACACTTTTTCCTTCCACTCAACTTTTCATTAGTATGCTTGGATACAGCAATCTGTGAACATCCAGCTTCTTTAGCAATGACCTTTTGTGACTTACCCTCCTTGCGGAGGGTGACAATGACTGTCTTCTGGACAACTGTCAAGTCAGCAGTCTTCCCCATGATCGTGTAACCTACTGAACCAGACTGAGAGACTATTTCAATGCTCAGGAAACCTTTACAGGTGTTTTGAGTTAATTACCTGATTAGAGTGTGGCACCATGGGGTTTATTTACTAAAGCTGGAGAGTCCAAAATCAGACTCCCTTCTGCATAGAAACCAATCAGCTTCCAGGTTTCATTGCCAAAGCTTCATTGAACAATGCTGAGGTTAGAAGCTGATTGGCTGGACTCTCTCTCCAGCTTTAGTAAATAAACCCCCATGAGTCTACAATGTTGACATTTTTCACAATATTCTAATTTTGGGTTTTCACTAGCTGTAAGCTGTAATCATCTAAATTAAAATAAAGAAATTCTTGAAATATATCACTCTGTGTGTAATGAATCTATATAACATATGAGTTTCATTTTGTGAACTGAATTACTGAAATAAATGAACTTTTTGATGATATTCTACTTTATTGAGATGCGCCTGTATGTTCTTAATCACACAGCATACAAAAAAAAAATAATATTTCTTACCTTTTAGATGTTTGAATCCATTTCTCATTAACATGCAATAAAATAGCTCATCTCCTAAACCTTTAGCTGTTTGTTAAAGAGTCGTCAAAGTGGAGCTCCACCCAAAAGGGAAAGTTTTGCTTTAAGGCTTTGTCCCCTGCTAACCGTTAAGGATTGGAACCTTTGGAGAGTGGGGGGGGGGGGTACCCAAACATGACAGGTACCCGCTCCCACTTCCGGTGCGACCACCTAAAGTGATCGAAAATGGTAGTTGTCCACCCCTCTCCCTCCCCATAGTCTTCTGGAACACATGACAGGTCCCAGAAGACTACAGGGCCATTCACAAAGTGCAGCGCTACTCACGCTTGTGAGTTACGCAGTGGTTACCTGGCTGTTAACCGCAAACGGTCACAGTCGGGTGCCCACACTGAAGATGCTGGTGCTGGGGAGAGAAGACGGCCAGTGAAACCAGCCATGGTGAGGACACTGCTGGATCAAGGGACAGGTAAGTATCCTTATTTTAAAAGTCAGCAGCTACAGTTTTTGTTAATTTTTTTTTATTCAACTGGAACTCTGCTTTAAATGCAAGAATTGTCTGTGTGCTCTTTAATTTACAGTCATCTCTTCTAGCTGTTGCCTGAACCTTTTCATCCTTCATTTTATCAATTTTTGTTAATTACCTGGTTGATACTGCTCTTTTCAAGCACCTCCCTGTCAGTTGTGGCAACACAATAGCAGTCAATCTACTGTCTGTTTCATTGCCACTAGCACTATGCTTGTACTTTCTATTTCCCTGCAGTAGAAACTATTTATTTCCTGCTTAAACCACACCACGTGTATTTTTTTTTTAACAGCTTGCAGTGCGGC